CTCCAATTTTTTTTCCATGTTATGCTTTTTAACTTACTTGCTCCTTATCAAATTGCCCTGGAAATGCTGACTGTTCCTTGAACTACTTTATGTTGCTTTATTTTTTCCAAGTGAACTTTTATAATGACTTTTTTATCCATTACGATATTCGCCACAGTTGTGTATAAATTCTGTTTATTAACTTATTTTTAGGTCACATTTACAACAACAAAAACCTCAGATTGAGCAGTCCATCATATAATTTTCTGTATCTTTAACTCATATAAATGCCTCTCTGTTGTAGTAAAATGAACCTGAACTCTTAACATGTAAAGTGACACCTTTGATCTCCCTCCCTTCCACACACCCCTGCTCTCCCCTCCCCCCCATATCTGCTTCCAGTGAATCGGGATCGCACGTTCATAAGGTGCAATTTCCTAGTAAGTGAACCATTTTCATTTGTACAGCACTGACCATGGACTACCCAGCCTTTTTAATTTACTTTTTAAACCTTTGACTCTGCATTAAACCTTGACTTTGCATTCTCAGCTTTTGCAGATCTATAATGCTACTTGATTTTTCTTCAGTAGAAGAATAATAGTAAACTGCTTTACTTCCTGAGTCTTTTTTAACATTGCCTTAAATTTTGAAATGAAACTATTTCAAAATTAAAGGCATTTTGGGGAAAATTGCAGCTGCTAGTTTTGAAACGCTTACGTTCACTTTATAAAAAAAGGGAACTATTATAAAATAATGGTAACCGCTTAATCCATATTGCAGAATAAGGACCAGATTTACAGAAGTAGTTAGTTGCTTTGTGGAATTTATATCTGGTAAGGGTACAAAATCTTGAGGCATAAGTAGTGCTATGACCTTTTCTAGTAAATCCCCTGGTCTAGATGCAACTCTGACAGAAGAGGCCTTCTGCTGAACTAGTTAATGTTGTTCAGGGCAGTGGTATAATTGTTAACAACATAGCAATACTATAGTTTGACCTCTTTGTTTCTCTTCTAGGAGCACAAAGAAGGGCATCTTGCATCCCTACCTCGGGAGGTTTGTAGATCATTTGTGAAAATTATTGAAGAAGTGCTTGGATCTCCCCCAGACCTGGAGTTACTGACACTGATCTTCAGTTTCCTCTTAGCAGTTCACCCTCCTACTAATACATATGTTTGTCACAATCCCACCAACTTCTACTTTTCCCTGCACATAGGTAGATATAATATTTTTACTTCCAAAATAATATCAAATAGAAAATAAAATGCCACTCACTCTGATTAGAAAATAGAACTAAACTAACTGTAAGTAGCCGTACTGTGAATGCCTGTGTTGAATGTTGCTATATAACTTCCATCTGTACAAAAGTTTCTGAAGTAGTGACATAAAGCCAACATTTCTTATACTACAACAGGCTTTATTTTTAAAAAAAATCTTATTGGACTTCATTTTGCACTCTCTGTATTGGATTACTAAGTAAACTGGTCCCTGACATCCCCTAAGAATAGTCTAATGCAGGTACTATTTTGTATAATTTGCAAAAATTAAATCTTGTGGCAAAGTGTCAAGTTCAGCAAAAGGGGGAACCAAGACAAAGGTCAGGCAGCTTGTTAAAAACAAAGTAGTCAGTTATAAGAATAAAAATTACCAGTTCCTGACTCTTGATCTTGTTGTTGGATGACTGGAGCACTGTTGTCTGCATTTCATCGTTCACTTAATATGTGAAGAGCCAGTGATACCATCTTATCAAAAAAATATGGTTACTACAAAAACAGACAAAAAGGGGGTGCCAACCCCCTCCTTCCTCCCTGCCTCCATGCTCCCCTCAAATCTTGAGCAGCCATGTTTTGGATAATTTAACTGAAAGTAACATCTCATCTCAGTAAATCTCTTGCAGGGAACAGCTGAACACTGTACATTTATATTTTTTCGATACAGTAGAATCCTGAGGGCTGTTAAATGAAATCCATTGTTACTGGCAACCTGTCAACTGTAACTCCTCCTGTAAAGACTCCCTTTACAGATCCAGTCTGTTGGGTTGTATGCAATCTTGTAATCTTCTAGGTAGTATTGGCAATTGTGAGTTGCATGTGTACACCTTTTCACAGTATCAGGCTTGAGGGTACAGAAACAGTCACTGCCCAAAATCCTCTTAATTGATTTCAGGCCTCCCTCACTGTCACTATGGTTTCTCTGATTGGGTATTTGCTCTTCTTCAACCACTATATTTTTAGCATTCTGTCAAGTCTGTTTTACTTCATGGTTCAATAACATTAGTATAGTTTGACTGAAATATTGCTGTAGGGATTCCAATTTTTAAACTAGAATAATCAGATACCCATACTGTGTTTCCTTAAAGCTGTGACTGTCAAACCCTGTGGGTTTGTGCCCTGCCATAGTAAAGCTGGGCACTCTTGTGCCCCTTGCTGCTGCTGCTTCCCTCTGCCACTGGCAGTTGATGGCAGCTGAAGTGGTGGGGCGAAGCGGGCAGGAGCAGTTTGGGAGCACCTGTGTTGTTGCTCATTCTCCAGCTTTTTTCCTTTAAAAAAAATTCCTAAATGAATGGAAAGAACAAATTGGGATATACAGTCTGATGCTTGAGTGGTGAATGCCCCTGCTATGTTATACGTGTGCTCCCCAAAGCGCTTATACTGATGCTGTGGTGAGTGCATACATCTGCATACGGTATTCCACACATCTTGGTAATGTACACATTGCTTAATTTAGTCGCTTGTTTCCAACAAGATGTATAACAGAATCTTCCTAAATTTCTCTTAAAATAATTTAATTAATCTTACTGCATTTTGATGCAATAAGGCAGGTTACAGCTAAGATTTTTCAACTACGCCTTAGTTTGAATGGTATTACAGGGTTCATGTTGCTGCATATAATAGTCATGCAGCCATTTGTAGTGTCAAGGGAAGAAATACAGTAACCTGATTGTATGCAGTAGGAAAAGTGTTTGGGAATTAGTGAAGTTAGGAAGACTGTAATCCAGAACAGAACTATGTTCTCTCTAGAGGTTAACTGTTAATGGAAAAAAGCATTTCTCTACATCCATAAGTGGAAATTATTTCATGCCACTATAAAGATGGCATTCCTCAGGCTTTTGCCAGTGTCACTTTATAAAAAGATATCATATTGTAGAAAGTATCATTTGATACTAGTATAACAGAAACCTAGTCTTTAACTATAATGTTAGTCAGTATTTTCAGATGTTTTAAGACAAATTTTGCCAGACATTCTCTGTTTGCTGGCATGCGCATATCCTCTTCAGACAACTGGTGTCTACCAGTGGTCATGCAGCTGTTGTATTTGTATTTCATTGTGACGTCATGTATAATAGTAGAATCCTAAAATTGGAACCTTCTGATGCTAGCATTCACATTTGAAATGCCATTTTAAAAATGCGTATTGTTAAGAGAGAAAATGTAATATAATTAACTACGGAGCATTCAGACTTCTCACTGTGTGGATTTTGAACACATTGCTACACTATTTACACTATATACACAAAAAATATTTGTTTCCCCTAAACTGCCTCAAGTACTCTTCTTGAATGTTGCAGGAAAATGCATGACTCACTAAAAATTCCATTTGTATCTTTTGACTCTTTACCTTAGGTTCACTAAGAGGAAAAAATTCCAAACTGTTAATCACTGTTTGCCTTTTGTTCCTAGATGGCAAGATTTTTCAGGAGAAGGTCCAATCAATCATGTACCTTAGAAATTTCAGCAGTGGTGGGAAACCAGTGGAGAGTTCTGCATTTGAAGTTACAAGTCCAGCTGGATTTACAGCTGCACTACCACAAGGTAAATTAATGGTGCATGCCACTACTTTCTGCAACTACTTTCTGTCTTTCTGATGTACATCAGGGCTGGCTAGTTGGTTAGTTAACCCACAAGGGGTTAACATAGGCTGTGGGCTCCCACCCACCTGTCACTCCCCTCATTACTCCTGCTGCTGCAGTAGTCAGGGTCTCTGGACATCCCCTCCCGGCCTGGCCAACACACCC